ATTGGTGCAGCAATTTCCTACCTATATTGATTGGAAAGTAGCATGTCTGCCACAGAACTTGAATAGAGCATCCATTTAAGACACAAATCCAAGTTACATCTAAAAGGATCTAGCTTACTCTATGGAGCTTATTTAATTAAGACATCATTAACATGACATTAACTTCATGCTATAACAAGTAGTTGTGTTTCCTTACTATTCAAGGAATAGTAAGACAAAACAATAGAATTTGATGTATTGCTGCCAACTACATGCTTCAGGTTTCCATGCACAAAAGAAATGCATCCACATTCTTATAGGGAGGAAGGAAACTTTCTATCTGCACCCACATAAAAAAAGAAAAAATGTACCCTGGAAATGTCCCTATGGCTATTTTGAGCATTCACATAGCCAGAAGGAAGCAATGTGTTATGCTTTTCCTTGAGGAATGTTTGTAATTTATTCAATGATATAGTTGAGCTGATCTGATAAGATTTCATATTCAGTTTATTGCAAATAAAGTGAATGGGATCGTCATTGCTCTTATCTCCCAAATCAATGTTAATTTTGATTTTTTAAGTGCTTCTTTTTATTTATGACTAATAATATAAGAGCTGGGTCTACTCCTCCCCTTCTTCTCTATTCTGGCACAATTTGTTTGTGACTCTGTTTTTTCAAGTGGCTTCTGAGTTCCTCCTGTTCTAATGCTATATCATTTGACAGCTATTCTAATTCACTGAGCAAGTATCTGATAAGCCTTACCTTTCTTTTACTATTTCTTTACCACTACCACCCCCTCTCCCCAGGAGATTTATTTCTTTGTTCTCCTCCAAGAGCACTGAGTCAAACAATACATTTCAATTTTTAGCAGTTTTCTTTACCATGACATATGCTAACTCTGCCAATAATCCATCCTTTGCTATCTTGGAGAAGTTGAACTGTCGCATGCAATGACCTCTTGTTCCATGTTTCTGAAAAATGTTGTTGCATTTACTGCCACCTCCTCTCCAATCTTCCTTTCATTCACCAGTTTTTTCAGCTCATCTCTATACCCTTTTTATTCTCTCTCAACCATATAAACTGAAAAAGGGCATTAATAGCTTTGTGGGACTGAAAAATGAGAGCTTGAGCCGACTAAAATATAGAAGAATAATGCATGAGTGTATTGTAAGTATACAAGACTGTCAAGAGTAACTGTTCAGAGTAATGTCAGCTATTATACTTGAACTCAAGTTAAAGCAATATCTGAGGCTGTCAAATAAAATAGCTATTTCCACAGGATCCTCCCCATAACTAACCACTTTCCACTTCTTCTGCAGTCTAAGAGAGGAAGAGGAAATTGGGGAATGGAACATCTGCTTAGCAGGACTTTTCTTTTTAATATTTAAGTTATTTTTAGTAGTGAAATACAGAAAACTGTAACACCAAGAGGGGAAAAAATATAAGCAGTATTTATATAGAAAAGAAAAAGAAAACCTAGACATCTCATGGTGCTATAAACTAAACCTAACAAAAGAAAATAAAACCAATCCTAGAATTAGATCCTAGAATTGCAGGTACCTTGGAGACTGATAAAGCCTCTGAGCTGTATTGTTTTAATTACATGTTTCAGTTGTAAATATTGCCAAGCAAAGGAAATGTAGGTAAGTCATATTCAAAATGCAATTGCTTGAAATCTGTAAAATCAACTAATTTAAAATACTTCCTTGTTTGGCCCAAGCATTCCAGGAAAACATCTTCCATGCTATTTTCAAATGTGGATAACTCAATTCTCATGTGATTCAGGGTAAAAATGAAATCACTTATCTGTCCTTTATTGCACACTAGAAGGAAGTTATATATATGCAGATCACCTGCCTGATGCAGAATGTTTCCTTCCTTCCTTCCTTCCTTCCTTCCTTCCTTCCTTCCTTCCTTCCTTCCTTCCTTCCTTCCTTCCTTCCT